ATTGTTGGGGGCAATATGCTGACTCTGTAAACCGCTTAGAGAGGGCTGAAAGCCCTATGAAGCGGTATATAAGTCTAACTGCTATTGCTATTGCTTAACTTAAATCGCGCTTCTGTCACCGCGCTGTTGTCAGCGCATTGATGACGCTGCAGTTTTCGCACTGCGGTTTTGTCGATGCGCTTTTGGCGTGCGTGTATTTGTCGGGTCATGGCCTACAGTACTCTAACCACTGCACCATCATGGCTCATAAGGAGAATAGAAGAGATCATATAAGAAGAGATCATCCTGGGCTGAATAAATAAAAGCTAATGGATCCAAAAGTCACTTCACATAGCCATTTGTTTTTTCCCACAAAGGCCAACAACTCCATCCTAATTATCTAAACTTATTCAATTCATTAGACCAGAAAGAGGGCAGGGGAACCCTCCTCAACGCGCCTCAATTTATAAAAGATGTTTAAAGATATACAGTGTGGTTATATGGAATGAGCAAAGAGCCATTTCTTTCTATGTAAAGATATTTCATCTATGCTTTGGTGATAGAAATCAATTCTCTTTTGCCTTGTTTGCAGAAGTCTGTTTCCAAAGATGAAGGGCTCCGTGGAAAGCATGGGCAAGAATCATCGATCCGTCTGGGCTGAACTGACAGTCAAAGAATCCCAGCGTATTTCCTCCCACTTCTCCCATTCGGACCTTTTGAAAAAGTAAGGTACAATATGCATGAACGCGTGTGCCTCCCTCCTGCTAATTAAGGACGGTGAGTAAAAGACAAATGATTTAGAATTGGATTAAAAGTTAAGTTAAAACAATGTCATTCTAGATGTATTCAAACACCATGAACAATTTTAAAAAAAACATCAAATCAAGCCTTTTGAAAGCAGGTTTGCAAGACGGTTTATATGAAATGAATAATTAGCTTGATAGAGGGATATTTCCCTGGGGGCTGGGATTAAATGCTGCAATGTAAAAAGTAATATAATCAATCTCTAGAAATTATTTCACATATTTTTGTATGAAGGCAGTTGTTTTTAAAGGCTTGGTTAATTTGCCAAACTCAAAAGGCAGGAGCAACGTAACCAGTGCTTTTTCCAACTGCCTAGTCAACCAAAACTGATTTCCTACAAAATAGTTGTTAAGTGCTAAGACCGTTTCACCCTTCCACTATCCAGTATAGGCTCTGCTTCCATGTTTAAACCATGCCAGATTTCCTTGTGACGAGGGTTGGCTAACCCAGTTTCAACAAAAGTTCCAATCTCCAATTAAAAGGTACCTTAATTTGTACTTGGGAACATGGGACTCAACCCTGTGGCTAATGCCGGGCGAAAGAGAAATCACTTTAGAAAGGAAGCAAATTTTTGAGAACTCAAACTCTCGTCGGGTATCCCAAGGAAGGTCTGCGACAAATCACGGGGCAGAGCAATAAAAATAGTTTGTCCAGCAGTAATGACTCTTCGGCGGAACAGCTAAATAAATTCTTCAGCCGTTTTGAGGTGGAAACAGGAACGCCCATCATTCCCGCATCTACCACTGATAGTACACTACTAACAGCTACCATCGAGAGACAACCACTTTGTTATGGCCCAGCAGGAGCCGTTGGAGCTGCCACCAGACTCCAACGGCGAAGGGCCCTATGAGTCCGCTTTGGAGGATTTGGAGGGACCTTGGACAGGGTTCCGACTCCGAGCAGGGCGCAGAGAGGCTGGTTGGCCACCAGGACGCGCCTGAGCCTTGGACCAGTGGGGAGGAGACAAGGGGGTGTGATCCGGATGTCAGCAGTGGGGAGGAGACAAGGGAGTTGTTCCTGGATGCCCAGCACCAGAGAGCTAATAGGCGTAAGGAACAGTTGTGCAGTTACAGGAGGTAATTGCACTCAGCTGGTGGTCATTAGGCTCCTCTC